TGTTGTTGAGTAAATTGTGGTTGTTGATGTTGTTGAGTAAATTGTGGTTGTTGATGTTGTTGAGTAAATTGTGGTTGCTGTTGTTGTTGTTGTTGAGAAAATTGTGGTTGCTGCTGCTGTTGAGCAAATTGTGGCTGTTGTTGTTGAGCAAATTGTTGTGGTTGTTGTGGTTGTTGTGGTATACCAATCATATTATTATTATCAACAATTCCGAATTGGTTTGTTGGATTTGCTCCATTCTTTTCATCATTATAAACTTTCCAAGATAATGCTGTGGCCAAAGCGAATGAAATTAACACTATACATCCAAGTATATTGGAAGCAATATAAGCATTACAGGAATGTTTAAGTTTGCCAGAATATGATGTAATGCCATGACATATAGACTTTTTTCCTCTGTATACCAAAACGAGATTGGTGAGAACTATTTTTTATAAACAAATAAATTAGATATATATAATAAATTCGATATTTTTCTGGTAAGAAGAATAAAACTCGAGAATAAATAAATTACCTGCGGTAAACCATAAAACTACAAAGGCACTAAATACGAATACGTAGAGTGGAAAAGTTAAAATTAGCATATAAAAAAAATTGTGGCAACTAAAAATTGTAAAAAAAAAGGAATATATACTTACGCATCGAATGCCATAAAATAAATTTCTTTTCGTTTTTCCCAAATTTTTTTTTTAAACATTGCAGCATATCCGACTATAAAAAATGAGTACATCATATAAAAAAATCTGAATAAATTTAACTTAATGAATTAATTAATTATAAATACTTACTAACTCCAATTAATGTAATTAGCACAACAATGTATACCCATATTACCGAACCTCCTTTACCACTATTTTTTAAGAATGATTAGTCGGTTTAGATTTCAAATTATTCGAATTAATAATAATTTTAATTATTCAATTGAAATATATTATTTAATAATACTTACTATGTGGTATTTGTATAATATAATTTAGCTGGATTCCCGAATAAATTTTTATAATATTTAGAACTATACGAATAAGAATAATCTTTAAAAAAAGAAGCGTAGGTAGCGACTTGCGCAATTTCTAATATACAATGAATTGCGGATATAAAATTAATTAATTTACATTAAGTACACGATGATGTAAAAAGAATGAATGTAAAGAGAAGAATAAAGAGTGAAAATAAATACGATACGAACCCACTATAATAAATACAATAAGAAGTAAAAGTTGAAAGGCCCTTATGCCAAGGAAAACTTTTTCTTTAGGTAGCGCTTGAAGTGTTTGTAAATTTAAATTCTGTGGTAATTTTGGTAAGTTTTGTGGTAAACTCATCTTTAAAAAAAATAGATGTATTTTTTCAAGTTCGTTCTCTTATTTATTTTCAAAAAGATATATGAATATTATTTATGTATATATGTATTTCGTTGACTTAAATTAAAATAATTGAAATTAAAAAAAAAGAAGAAATTCAAAAGGGTATTTAAGATTTATTTATATCATTAATTGATTTAAATTAATTCATTTATAATTATTATTAGGTTCATTGAGAAAAAATGCTAACGATGTAGATGAAGATATTCTCAATTTATCATCATTAATTCAGTCTGTTTCAGTTGTCGTTTTATTCAGTTTACAAATTACACCGAAATAATTATGAATCATTTTTTTATACTTTATTATAATTTTATTATCTCAATTTATTCCTTATTAATCGTGGTATAATCAAAAAAGGACAATAGTATCGTTAACAAGTAATAAAATCAAAATAAAACAAAAATAAAATTTAAAGTTATCAAATAAGATAAATTCATTGAACTTAATTGGGAATTGTTATAAGCGCGTGCCATATTATTATTGTATGATATGATTTTTGTTTACGTAAAAAACGAACAAATTAAAAATGCAAATCAAAAAATATTAACTTTACTAAAAGTATCATTCAACGCACATATTTGTTTGTAAAACAAAGTAACATGCATAATAAACAAATTAATATATATCTAAATTTCAGGGTGTCAAAATGTTGATGTTTATTTTGTTTCATTCTCAAAATCGAGCAATGTAAAAATCCATTATTCATTCTTACTATTAATTTAATATCGTTGTATCGCTGTGACTATTATTATTATTATTGTTGTCGTTGAAAGAACAAATCTATATATATTGCTAATATTTGAAAATTAAAAATAATATAATTAATTACTTTTCTTTGAATTCATCCTGAAATCAGAAACCAAAGTCAAACAACTCTCTCCCATGTTTTTTAGTGACATATGGGGTACATATCAAATGTGATGTTACAAGTAATATTTAGTCATTGACAATCTGATCTGATACCCAAATATAGTAAATTATAATTAAAAATTATGATTGGCTCAAATAAAGTTAACGAAAAGGGGTATTTTCGCACATCCGAAAATCATTTTTTCTTTGTGACCTATTTCATTTAAAGTATAATTTCTTAACAAACAATATATGACTTCATTGCTGACTAAGATGACGAAATATAAAATTGTGAATTAATCTATAATTTTATTTTTTTTCTTGGGATAAATATATGTAATTCTTTAAATGGATGTCCATTTTTTTTATTAAACTAACGAGTATTTTTTTTTTCTAGAGCCACCTGCCACTAAAATATGACTGGTGTAATGTAATATAGATATATTTACATAAATTATAAT